CTGTGCTGTACTAGTAAGGAATTGTCCACGTTCTATTTACACTCAAACACAGCGGTGTACTGTACTAATAAGGAATTGTCCACGTTCTATTTACCCTCAAACACAGCGGTGTGCTGTACTAGTAAGGAATTGTCCACGTTCTATTTACACTCAAACACAGCGGTGTACTGTACTAGTAAGGAATTGTCCACGTTCAATTTACCCTCAAACACAGCGCTGTGCTGTACTAGTAAGGAATTGTCCACGTTCTATTTACCCTCAAACACAGCGGTGTGCTGTACTAGTAAGGAATTGTCCACGTTCTATTTACCCTCAAACACAGCGGTGTGCTGTACTAGTAAGGAATTGTCCACGTTCTATTTACCCTCAAACACAGTGGTGTGCTGTACTAGTAAGGAATTGTCCACGTTCTATTTACCCTCAAACACAGCGGTGTGCTGTACTAGTAAGGAAATGTCCACGTTCTATTTACACTCAAACACAGCGGTGTGTTGTACTAGTAAGGAATTGTTCACGTTATATTTACCCTCACACACACCACTGTGCTGTACTAGTAAGGAATTGTCCACGTTCTATTTACACTCAAACACAGCGGTGTACTGTACTAGTAAGGAATTGTCCACATTCTATTTACACTCAAACACAGCGGTGTGCTGTACTAGTAAGGAATTGTCCACGTTCTGTTTACCCTCAAACACAGCGGTGCGCTGTACTAGTAAGGAATTCTCCACGTTCTATTTACCCTCAAACACAGCGGTGTGCTGTACTAGTAAGGAATTGTCCACGTTCTATTTACCCTCAAACACAGCGGTGTGCTGTACTAGTAAAGAATTGTCCACGTTCTATTTACCCTCAAACACAGCGGTGTGCTGTACTAGTAAGGAATTGTCCACGTTCTATTTACACTCAAACACAGCGGTGTGCTGTACTAGTAAGGAATTGTCCACATTCTATTTACACTCAAACACAGCGGTGTGCTGTACTAGTAAGGAATTGTCCACGTTCTATTTACCCTCAAACACAGCGGTGTGCTGTACTAGTAAGGAATTGTCCACGTTCTATTTACCCTCAAACACAGCGGTGTGCTGTACTAGTAAGGAATTGTCCACGTTCTATTTACACTGAAACATACCGCTGTGCTGTACTAGTAAGGAATTGTCCACGTTCTATTTACCCTCAAACACAGCGGTGTGCTGTACTAGTAAGGAATTGTCCACGTTCTATTTACACTGAAACATACCGCTGTGCTGTACTAGTAAGGAATTGTCCACGTTCTATTTACGTGACACCATACCAATTGGTTGGCGGGTTTAACGGCACATTTGTATTGAAGTGATCTCACCCAGAAAATAAAACCGTATGGATATATAACTGTCTTGGTACGAAGCGTACCAAATGCCACTAGGTTTTTATTTAAATTCTAGTATGCATTATCTCCACTAGGGTGCACACACACATATACATTGTACCCAGGTTTAATGATATCTTATCGCAAAGAGGAAACATGCTCTTTGGTTCTTTCGGTAAAGTCACGTAGGTAATCAAATAAAATAAATGACGTTTCGATTGTAACACAAGCGTCCATCATCATCATTGGGAAAACCACAGCAAGAATTGCGTGGACGCTCCCCTCCCCCTACCCGATCAACGTTGAAGATAAACAACAAAATAATAAAATATATAAAACAATAAAAAATTCTCACGACGTTTCGACCATAACTCAAACGGTCATCTTCAGGTGTTTATGCAAACCAACACACCTGAAGATGACCGTTTGAGTTATGGTCGAAACGTCGTGAGAATTTTTTTTATTGTTGTTTCTCTTCAACGTGACTTTACCGAAAAAACTAAGAATATGAATTACTGCAGTCACGAAAGCTTTAAATCAAAACTGTATAACCTCTTACCACAGCATCTCTCTCCCACTTCATCAAATAAATGTTCTTGCTGTGTCCTGACTGTAGTGAGTGTCAAGGCACGTGCATGCTGGGTGTGTGTTCACTGTCATCAGGAAACGTTTATTAAGAAGTCTGTTTACTCTTTAATTCAGCAGGACGTGTTTATTTAAAGTTGCGCATTTTGACGTGACGTCACATTTCTCAAACACCCCCCCCACCTCCTCACACATCGTCACAAATGTCTGACCTCTCCCCCACCCCCCCAGCTGGGTTACGTCATTTATGGACGGCCCCTTAACACATGTTTCAGCTATCATTTGTATTACCATACTCATCCTATCTACGAAATTCATTATATTACCTATCCAGACTAGGATTTAAAGTCTGAATCTTATCCTGGCTATCATTTGTATTGCCCGACTTATCACGTCTATGATAAGCACTAAACAGCCCCGCCGTGACTGAGAGGGACAATACGAATATCTTAGCACTGTGAGAATCACTGCAGAGCTTACGTTAACTAGAACCGATAACGCTCGCGATCATTCATCAATCAAGCGATACGTAAGGTCTAACTTACACACGTTACGACTAAGCAAAATGGGCCTCAATTCTGGCAGCCCAAACAAATGAACAATTTCAAACGCAGCAAAATCGTCAACAACTATTTAATACTTATTTAAAACAATTAACAAATAAGTGTACGCGCAGACACACACACAGACACACACACAGACACACACACAGACACACACACACACAGACACACACACAGACACACACACACAGACACACACACACACACAGACACACACACAGACACACACACAGACACACACAGACACGCACACAGACACAGACACACACACAGACACACACAGCGATCAAACCCCTAACATCGATGCGCTAGCCATGCGGATCGCACGCCCAGAGAGAGACGAGACATCGCCCTGGAGAGAGACGCCGCCACCACCCATCATCGCCCTCCTCCGTGTTCGCGTGAATCACCTTCGCCACCTTCGCCACCTTCGCCACTTTCGCCACCTTCGCCACCTTCGCCACCGTCGTCGTCCACACCGCCGCCACGTCCGACTAAAGAGTTTCGTGGGGGGCTACGGCAACCGGGGGGGGGGGGAGGATTGGGGGGGGCGGAGGAGGGGGGACAGCCCCCCAGGACCTGGGCAGCTCTCCCTCACGCCAAAAACAAAACCTTCACTCGCGACGTCGTCGCCATCGCCGCCAACGACCGGGACGTGACGAGAGTGGCACGCGGACGAGGGGGACCCACTACCAGGGTCCCTCTACCGGGGTCCCCCTACCAGGGTCCCTCTACCAGGGTCACTCTACCAGGGTCCCACTACCAGGGTCCCTCTACCGGGGACCCTCTACCAGGGTCCCTCTACCAGGGTCCCTCTACCAGGGTCCCTCTACCGGGGTCCCCCTACCAGGGTCCCTCTACCAGGGTCCCTCTACCAGGGTCCCTCTACCGGGGTCCCACTACCGGGGTCCCTCTACTGGGGTCCCACTACCGGGGTCCCTCTACCAGGGTCCCTCTACCAGGGTCCCTCTACCAGGGTCCCTCTACCAGGGTCCCTCTACCAGGGTCCCACGACCAGGGTCCCACTACCAGGCCTCTACCAGGATCCCTCTACCAGGGTCCCTCTACCGGGGTCCCTCTACCGGGGTCCCTCTACTGGGGTCCCACTACCAGGGTCCCTCTACCAGGGTCCCTCTACTGGGGTCCCACTACCAGGGTCCCTCTACCAGGGTCCCTCTACCAGGGTCCCTCTACCGAGGTCCGTCTACCAGGGTCCCTCTACCAGGGTCCCTCTACCAGGGTCCCACTACCAGGGTCCCTCTACCAGGGTCCCTCTACCAGGGTCCCTCTACCAGGGTCCCACTACCAGGGTCCCTCTACCAGGGTCCCTCTACCAGGGTCCCACTACCAGGGTCCCTCTACCAGGGTCCCTCTACCGGGGTCCCTCTACCAGGGTCCCTCTAACAGGGTCCCTCTACCAGGGTCCCACTACCAGGGTCCCACTACCAGGCCTCTACCAGGATCCCTCTACCAGGGTCCCTCTACCAGGGTCCCTCTACTGGGGTCCTTCTACTGGGGTCCCACTACCAGGGTCCCTCTACCAGGGTCCCTCTACCAGGGTCCCTCTACCAGGGTCCCCCTACCAGGGTCCCACTACCAGGGTCCCTCTACCGGGGTCCCTCTACCGGGGTCCCTCTACCAGGGTCCCTCTATCAGGGTCCCACTACCAGGGTCCCTCTACCAGGGTCCCTCTACCGGGGTCCCTCTACCGGGGTCCCTCTACCAGGGTCCCTCTACCAGGGTCCCTCTACCAGGGTCCCACTACCAGGGTCCCTCTACCAGGGTCCCTCTACCAGGGACCCTCTACCAGGGTCCCTCTACCGGGGTCCCTCTACCGGGGTCCCTCTACCGGGGTCCCTCTACCAGGGTCCCTCTACCAGGGTCCCTCTACCAGGGTCCCTCTACCAGGGTCCCTCTACCGGGGTCCCACTACCAGGGTCCCTCTTCCGGAGTCCCTCTACCAGGGTCCTACTACCAGGGTCCCACTACCAGGGTCCCACTACCAGGGTCCCACTACCAGGCCTCTACCAGGGTCCCCCTACCAGGGTCCCTCTACCAGGGTCCCTCACCGGGGTCCCTCTACCGGGGTCCCACTACCAGGGTCCCTCTACCAGGGTCCCTCTACCAGGGTTCCACTACCAGGGTCCCTCTACCAGGGTCCCTCTACCAGGGTCCCAGGGTCCCTCTACCGGGGTCCCTCTACCAGGGTCCCCGCTAGTCTGAGGCGCTAGTCTGAGGCGCTAGTCTGAGGCGCAAGTCTGAGGCGCTAGTCTGAGGCGCTAGTCTGAGGTGCTAGTCTGAGGCACCAGTCTGAGGCGCTAGTCTGAGGCACTAGTCTGAGGCACTAGTCTGAGGCGCTAGTCCGAGGCGCTAGTCTGAGGCGCCAGTCTGAGGTGCTAGTCTGAGGCACCAGTCTGAGGCGCTAGTCTGAAGCGCTAGTCTGAGGCGCTAGTCTGAGGTGCTAGTCTGAGGCGCAAGTCTGAGGTACTAGCCTGCGGCGCTAGTCTGAGGTGCTAGTCTGAGGCGGTGCCCTCGTGAGGACCGCTCCTGCGGCTGCGCTTGCTGGGAATCTCCTCCTGGCTGCAGCCCTGGAAAGGGAGGGGGTGGGGAGTTACCCACACACAGAGACCCAAAGACTCACCACACATAGAGACCCATAGACTCACCACACACAGAGACCCATAGACTCACCACACACAGAGACCCATAGACTCACCACACACAGAGACCCATAGACTCACCACACACAGAGACCCATAGACTCATCACACAGAGACCCATAAACTCACCACACACAGAGACCCATAGACTCACCACACATAGAGACCCATATACTCACCACACACAGAGACCCATAGACTCACCACACACAGAGACCCATAGACTCACCACACACAGAGACCCATAGACTCACCACACACAGAGACCCACAGACTCACCACACACAGAGACCCATAGACTCACCACACACAGAGACCCATAGACTCACCACACATAGAGACCCATAGACTCACCACACAGAGACCCATAGACTCACCACACACAGAGACCCATAGACTCACCACACACAGAGACCCATAGACTCACCACATAGAGACCCATAGACTCACCATACACAGAGACCCATAGACTCACAACACACAGAGACCCATAGACTCACCACACACAGAGACCCACAGACTCACCACACACAGAGACCCATAGACTCACCACACACAGAGACCCATAGACTCACCACACACAGAGACCCATAGACTCACCACACACAGAGACCCACAGACTCACTACACAGAGACCCATAGACTCACCACACACAGAGACCCATAGACTCACCACACACAGAGACCCATAGACTCACCACACACAGAGACTCATAGACTCACCACACACAGAGACCCATAGACTCACCACACACAGAGACTCATAGACTCACCACACACAGAGACCCATAGACTCACCACACAGAGACCCACAGACTCACCACACACAGAGACCCATAGACTCACCACACACAGAGACCCACAGACTCACCACACAGAGACCCATAGACTCACCACACACAGAGACCCATAGACTCACCACACACAGAGACCCATAGACTCACCACACAGAGACCCATAGACTCACCACACACAGAGACCCATAGACTCACCACACACAGAGACCCATAGACTCACCACACACAGATACCCACAGACTCATCACACACAGAGACCCATAGACTCACCACACACAGAGACCCATAGACTCACCACACACAGAGACCCATAGACTCACCACACACAGAGACTCATAGACTCACCACACACAGAGACTCATAGACTCACCACACACAGAGACCCATAGACTCACCACACACAGAGACCCATAGACTCACCACACACAGAGACCCACAGACTCATCACACACAGAGACCCATAGACTCACCACACACAGAGACCCATAGACTCACCACACACAGAGACCCATAGACTCACCACACACAGAGACTCATAGACTCACCACACACAGAGACCCATAGACTCACCACACACAGAGACCCATAGACTCACCACACACAGAGACTCATAGACTCACCACACACAGAGACTCATAGACTCACCACACACAGAGACCCATAGACTCACCACACACAGAGACCCATAGACTCACCACACACAGAGACCCACAGACTCATCACACACAGAGACCCATAGACTCACCACACACAGAGACCCATAGACTCACCACACACAGAGACCCATAGACTCACCACACACAGAGACTCATATACTCACCACACACAGAGACCCATAGACTCACCACACACAGAGACCCATAGACTCACCACACACAGAGACACATGGACTCACCACACACAGAGACCCATAGACTCACCACACACAGAGACCCATAGACTCACCACACACAGAGACTCATAGACTCACCACACACAGAGACCCATAGACTCACCACACACAGAGACCCATAGACTCACCACACACAGAGACCCATAGACTCACCACACACAGAGACCCATAGACTCACCACACACAGAGACCCATATACTCACCACACACAGAGACCCATAGACTCACCACACACAGAGACCCATAGACTCACCACACACAGAGACCCATAGACTCACCACACACAGAGACCCACAGACTCACCACACACAGAGACCCATAGACTCACCACACACAGAGACCCACAGACTCATCACACACAGAGACCCATAGACTCACCACACACAGAGACCCATAGACTCACCACACACAGAGACTCATAGACTCACCACACACAGAGACCCATAGACTCACCACACACAGAGACCCATAGACTCACCACACACAGAGACTCATAGACTCACCACACACAGAGACTCATAGACTCACCACACACAGAGACCCATAGACTCACCACACACAGAGACCCATAGACTCACCACACACAGAGACCCACAGACTCATCACACACAGAGACCCATAGACTCACCACACACAGAGACCCATAGACTCACCACACACAGAGACCCATAGACTCACCACACACAGAGACCCATAGACTCACCACACACAGAGACCCATAGACTCACCACACACAGAGACCCATAGACTCACCACACACAGAGACTCATGGACTCACCACACACAGAGACCCATAGACTCACCACACACAGAGACCCATAGACTCACCACACACAGAGACTCATAGACTCACCACACACAGAGACCCATAGACTCACCACACACAGAGACCCATAGACTCACCACACACAGAGACCCATAGACTCACCACACACAGAGACCCACAGACTCACCACACACAGAGACCCATATACTCACCACACACAGAGACCCATAGACTCACCACACACAGAGACCCATAGACTCACCACACACAGAGACCCATAGACTCACCACACACAGAGACCCACAGACTCACCACACACAGAGACCCATAGACTCACCACACACAGAGACCCATAGACTCATCACACAGAGACCCATAGACTCACCACACACAGAGACCCATAGACTCACCACACATAGAGACCCATATACTCACCACACACAGAGACCCATAGACTCACCACACACAGAGACCCATAGACTCACCACACAGAGACCCACAGACTCACCACACACAGAGACCCATAGACTCACCACACACAGAGACCCATAGACTCACCACACACAGAGACCCATAGACTCACCACACACAGAGACTCATAGACTCACCACACACAGAGACCCATAGACTCACCACACACAGAGACCCATAGACTCACCACACACAGAGACTCATAGACTCACCACACACAGAGACTCATAGACTCACCACACACAGAGACCCATAGACTCACCACACACAGAGACCCATAGACTCACCACACACAGAGACCCACAGACTCATCACACACAGAGACCCATAGACTCACCACACACAGAGACCCATAGACTCACCACACACAGAGACCCATAGACTCACCACACACAGAGACTCATAGACTCACCACACACAGAGACCCATAGACTCACCACACACAGAGACCCATAGACTCACCACACACAGAGACTCATGGACTCACCACACACAGAGACCCATAGACTCACCACACACAGAGACCCATAGACTCACCACACACAGAGACTCATAGACTCACCACACACAGAGACCCATAGACTCACCACACACAGAGACCCATAGACTCACCACACACAGAGACCCATAGACTCACCACACACAGAGACCCACAGACTCACCACACACAGAGACCCATATACTCACCACACACAGAGACCCATAGACTCACCACACACAGAGACCCATAGACTCACCACACACAGAGACCCATAGACTCACCACACACAGAGACCCACAGACTCACCACACACAGAGACCCATAGACTCACCACACACAGAGACCCACAGACTCACCACACACAGAGACCCATAGACTCACCACACACAGAGACCCATAGACTCACCACACACAGAGACTCATAGACTCACCACACACAGAGACCCATAGACTCACCACACACAGAGACCCATAGACTCACCACACACAGAGACTCATAGACTCACCACACACAGAGACTCATAGACTCACCACACACAGAGACCCATAGACTCACCACACACAGAGACCCATAGACTCACCACACACAGAGACCCACAGACTCATCACACACAGAGACCCATAGACTCACCACACACAGAGACCCATAGACTCACCACACACAGAGACCCATAGACTCACCACACACAGAGACTCATAGACTCACCACACACAGAGACCCATAGACTCACCACACACAGAGACCCATAGACTCACCACACACAGAGACTCATAGACTCACCACACACAGAGACCCATAGACTCACCACACACAGAGACCCATAGACTCACCACACACAGAGACTCATAGACTCACCACACACAGAGACCCATAGACTCACCACACACAGAGACCCATAGACTCACCACACACAGAGACCCATAGACTCACCACACACAGAGACCCATAGACTCACCACACACAGAGACCCATATACTCACCACACACAGAGACCCATAGACTCACCACACACAGAGACCCATAGACTCACCACACACAGAGACCCATAGACTCACCACACACAGAGACCCACAGACTCACCACACACAGAGACCCATAGACTCACCACACACAGAGACCCATAGACTCATCACACAGAGACCCATAGACTCACCACACACAGAGACCCATAGACTCACCACACATAGAGACCCATATACTCACCACACACAGAGACCCATAGACTCACCACACACAGAGACCCATAGACTCACCACACAGAGACCCACAGACTCACCACACACAGAGACCCATAGACTCACCACACACAGAGACCCATAGACTCACCACACAGAGACCCATAGACTCACCACACATAGAGACCCATAGACTCACCACACACAGAGACCCATAGACTCACCACACACAGAGACCCATAGACTCACCACACACAGAGACCCATAGACTCACCACACACAGAGACCCATAGACTCACCACACACAGAGACCCATAGACTCAGCACACACAGAGACCCATAGACTCACCACACACAGAGACCCATAGACTCACCACACACAGAGACCCATAGACTCACCACACACAGAGACCCATAGACTCACCACACACAGAGACCCATAGACTCATCACACACAGAGACCCATAGACTCACCACACACAGAGACCCATAGACTCACCACACACAGAGACCCATAGACTCACTCACACAGAGACCCATAGACTCACCACACACAGAGACCCATAGACTCACCACACACAGAGACCCATAGACTCATCACACACAGAGACCCATAGACTCACCACACACAGAGACCCAGAGACTCACCACACACAGAGACCCATAGACTCACAACACACAGAGACCCATAGACTCACCACACACAGAGACCCATAGACTCACCACACACAGAGACCCATAGACTCACTCACACAGAGACCCATAGACTCACCACACACAAAGACCCATAGACTCACCACACACAGAGTCACAGCATTACCGTCCGACACCAATGAGGTAGGGGATCGTTTCGCTGGACAGACAAACACACGCACACTTACACACAAACACACGTACACACACACGTACACATCCACACACACACACACACACGTACACACAAACACACACACATACACACAAACACACATACACACAAACACATACACACACAAACACATATACACACACACACGTACACACACAAACACGCACACATACACACAAACACACATAAACACATATACACACACACGTACACACACAAACACGCACACATACACACAAACACACACACACGTACACACATACACACAAACACACGTACACACACGCACAAACACACGCACACACACGCACACGTACACACGTACACACACACAAACACGCACACATACACACAAACACACATACACACGCACACAAATACACATACACACAAACACACGTACACACGCACACACATACACACATACACATGTACACACACACACCACGCATCGTGACGGTGCCCTCACCAGGTCAGCCAGCAGTGGAGTGAACTTCCCACTGCTGCTGTTGCCGCTGCTGCTGTTGCTGTTGTTGTTGCTGCTGCTGCTGTTGTTGCTGGGTAGCTCCTCGGTGCCCGGCCCTCGTAGAACCTCGGTTCCACTCCTGGCCAGGGCTGACGCACGGACGGCGCCACCACCACTACCACCAGCGACCATTCCTCCTCCGCCGGCAACGAGCACGGCGCCGGCGGCGCCGTCGGCACCGAGCCGGGGAGCCGGCGACGCCGCCGACGGGCACAGCCGCGCCACCACGGCGCTCACGTTGTCGGCCTTGGTGCCGAGCCGGTGCCAGCGGGACAGCGCCTCCGCCACCAGCGCCTGCGCCAGCGTCAGGTCTACACCGCTGCTGCTGCTGCTGCTGGCACCACCGGCACAACAACCAGCACCACCAGCAGCACAACCACCGGCACCACCAGCAGCACAACCACCGGCACAACCACCGGCACCACCACCAGCACAACCACCGGCACCACCACCGACATCACCACCACCACCACCGGCACCACCACCACCGCTGGCCTGCAGGATGAGACGTGTAAGTGCATGTAGACGTGTGTGTGTGTGTGTAGATGTGTGTGTGTGGATGTAGACGTGTGTGTGTGTATGTAGACGTGTGTGTGTGTATGTAGACGTGTGTGTGTGTATGTAGATGTGTGTGTGTGTATGTAGACGTGTGTGCGTGTATGTAGACGTGTGTGTGTGTATGTATAGTGTGTGTGTGTAGACGTGTGTGTGTGTATGCAGACGTGTGTGTGTGTAGACGTGTGTATGTAGACGTGTGTGTGTATGTAGACGTGTGTGTGTGTGTATGTAGACGTGTGTGTGTGTAGATGTGTGTGTGTGGATGTAGACGTGTGTGTGTGTATGTAGACGTGTGTGTGTGTATGTAGACGTGTGTGTGTATGTAGATGTGTGTGTGTATGTAGACGTGTGTGCGTGTATGTAGACGTGTGTGTGTGTATGTATAGTGTGTGTGTGTAGACGTGTGTGTGTATGTAGACGTGTGTGTGTGTATGTAGACGTGTGTAAGTGTATAGTGTGTGTGTATGTAGACGTGTGTGTGTGTATGTAGACGTGTGTGTGTGTATGTAGGCGTGTGTGTGTGTAGACGTGTGTGTGTGTATGTAGACGTGTGTGTGTATGTAGACGTGTGTGTGTGTGCATGTAGACGTGTGTGTGTATGTAGACGTGTGTGTGTATGTAGACGTGTGTGTGTGTATGTAGACGTGTGTGTGTGTATGTAGATGTGTGTGTGTGTATGTAGACGTGTGTGCGTGTATGTAGACGTGTGTGTGTGTATGTATAGTGTGTGTGTGTAGACATGTGTATGTAGACGTGTGTGTATATGTAGACGTGTGTGTGTATGTAGACGTGTGTGTATGTAGACGTGTGTGCGTATGTAGATGCGTGTGTGTGTATGTAGACGTGTGTGTGTGTATGTAGACGTGTGTGTGTGTGTGTAGACGTGTGTGTGTGTATGTAGACGTGTGTGTATATGTAGACGTGTGTGTGTATGTAGACGTGTGTGTGTGTATGTAGACGTGTGTGTGTGTAGACGTGTGTATGTAGACGTGTGTGTGTATGTAGACGTGTGTGTGTGTGTATATATAGTGTGTGTGTGTATGTAGACGTGTGTGTGTGTGTAAACGTGTGTGTGTGTATGTAGACGTGTGTAAGTGTATAGTGTGTGTGTATGTAGACGTGTGTGTGTGTGTATGTAGACGTGTGTGTGTGTATGTAGGCGTGTGTGTGTATGTAGACGTGTGTGTGTGTATGTAGACGTGTGTGTGTATGTAGACGTGTGTGTGTGTGCATGTAGACGTGTGTGTGTATGTAGACGTGTGTGTGTATGTAGACGTGTGTGTGTGTATGTAGACGTGTGTGTATATGTGTGTGTGTGTATGTAGACGTGTGTGTGTGTATGTAGACGTGTGTGAGTGTATGTAGACGTGTGTGTGTATGTAGACGTGTGTGCGTGTATGTAGACGTGTGTGAGTGTATGTAGACGTGTGTGTGTATGTATGTAGACGTGTGTGTGTGTATGTAGACGTTTGTGTGTATGTAGACGTGTGTGTGTGTGTGTATGTAGACGTGTGTGAGTGTATGTAGACGTGTGTGTGTATGTAGACGTGTGTGCGTGTATGTAGACGTGTGTGAGTGTATGTAGACGTGTGTGTGTATGTATGTAGACGTGTGTGTGTGTATGTAGACGTTTGTGTGTATGTAGACGTGTGTGTGTGTGTGTATGTAGACGTGCCCGTGCTCGCTGCTGCTGCTGTGCGTCCGCACGATGACAGAGCGCCACGGCCTCTGTGGGCGTGAGGACATCCCAGACTCCGTCGGTGGCCAGCACCAGGTAGCGGTGGTGCCCTGGGTCCAGCCTGTAGGCGCTGACGTCCGGCTCGGGGGAGACCACAAACTGGGCGCTCGCAAAGTCGTAGCTCCAGAGGTCCCCTGTGGGATATCGCCAACACACACACACGTACACACACACACACGTACACACACACGTACACACACATACGTACACACACACACGTACCACACACACACACGTACACACACACGTACACACACCCACACGTACACACACACGTACACACGTACACACACACACTCACACACGTACACACTCACACACGTACACACTCACACACACGTACACACACACACACGTACACACACGCACACGTGCACACGTACACACACACACGTACACACACACACGTACACACTCACACACGTACACACACACACGTACACACACACACACGTACACACACACACGTACACACACGTACACACACACGTACACACACACATACACACACACACGTACACACACGTACACACACACTTACACACGTACACACACACGTACACACACGTACACACACACGTACACACGTACGCACACACATGGACACGTACACACACGGACACACGTACACACACACGTACACACGTACACACACACGCACACACGTACACACACACACACGTACACACACGTACACACACACGTACACACACGTACACACACACGTACACACACACACGTACACACAAACACGTACACACACGTACACACACTCGTAAACACACACGTAAACACACCTATGCGTACACACACATATACATGAACACACGTTTCACAACAACCGCCATTCGCCATTAGGTGGCGATGACATAACCAGGGCGCCTGTGCCAGGCTACGTGCACTTTTAACGCCAGATGAAGTGTCGAATGCCCGCTGGCAGGAGGTCGCCAGGAGGTGCCACGGGTGTGTATAGGTGTGTGTGTGTGTAGGTGTGTGTGTAGGTGTGTGTAGGTGTGTGTGTAGGTGTGTGTGTGTAAGTGTGTGTGTGTAGGTGTGTGTGTGTAGGTGTGTGTGTAGGTGTGTGTAGGTGTGTGTGTAGGGGTGTGTGTAGGTGTGTGTAGGTGTGTGTATAGGTGTGTGTGTAGGTGTGTGTAGGTGTGTGTGTAGGTGTGTGTGCCGGACGGGCAACTCTGTCGTGGACAGTGCTGTGGGGGGAGGTCCAATTTTGATTGGCTCCTCTACATACACACACAGGGGCTAAACGGGGGCTCTGGATGGATGCGAGGGGCTGGTAACCCCTCCACCTTCAATTAATTACCACTAAACCACGAATTAAGAATATATAACTAATAAGCTTGTGCCGGAGGCCCCGGGAGGCCAGGCGTCTATGACGTCTCCTGGCCAAACCCCAATTGGCGGAGCCAGGAGATTGAATATCTACCCTCGGGGCTCCTCCAGAAACAACGAAAAACCACTACGGGTGGCCACGTGGAATGTTCGAACACTCACTGCGGAGGAGAGGCTGCCACTCCTCTGTCGGGAGCTGGACCGGTACCGCCTGGATCTATGTGGCATTCAGGAGGTCCGGTGGACCGGCTCTGGCTCCTGCCACTATGAGGGGTGGACAGTCCTCTACTCGGGGCAGCAGACTGCCAAACAACAGGGTGTGGCTCTTCTTTTGAACAAAAGAATAAAGGGGCGTGGGAACATGGCGGTGAGGTGTGGGAAGCTGTAAGTCCCAGGCTACTTTGGGCTCGCCTTCCCATCAACTGGAGGCGAGGAATGGTGGTCGTGGTTACTTATGCCCCCACCGAAGATGAACATCCGTGGAGGGATGCAGGCAAAGCCGATGAGTCAGATGACTTCTATGACCTCCTGTCACAGGTGCTGGCTAAAGTGGCCCCTCGGGATAGAGTCATCATGTTGGGTGACTTCAATGCCCGAGTTGGTCATGATACTGGCACCTGGTCTGGAGTGATTGGAGGGCATGGGCCAGATCAGCTCAATAACAACGGTAGAAGGCTGCTAGATTTTTGTGCAGCCCATGGGCTAGTAATTACCAACACGCTGTTCCGGCATCGGCGCATCCACACAACATCATGGATGCATGCCGAGTCCAAGCAAGAACATCTGCTGGACTAGATAGTGACGGACCAGCGGATGCGAGCCCATGTCCTTGACACCAGGACCTACCGTGGAGCTGATCTGCCTTCTGACCATCCGACTAGTCATCTGTAAGATGTGCCTGCTATTCTTCAACTCCGGTGGTGGGTGTACACCCAGGACCCCATTCCAACCTAAAGTGGCCTGGTCTCAGTTATCTGATGAAAGTTGCAAGCGAGAATTTCATCATCGCTTGCGGCTGGGATTGGCATCGTCCCCGACTCCTCCTGATGTCGAGGGTAAATGGGCGAGGTTTAGGACTGTGACTCATGCAGCTGCAATGGCTGCTTTGGGTACGCGGTCCAGACCTCCCCAGAGACCCTGGCTGACAGAGGAGGTGTTCAGGATGGTTGAGAAAAAACGACAGGCCCACTGTCATCAGTTACAGAATCCCATGTCAGAGAATGAGGAGGCTTACCGCAGCCTTCGCTCGGAGGTTCGGAGAGCCATGAGGTGCTGCAAGGATGGGTGGTGGTCGCGGGTTGCTGAGGAGATGGAGTCTGCCTCAGTGGCCCGTGATCACAAATCTCTATTTAACTCCATCAAAAAAGTAATCTGCAGCGCCACACCTATTACCATCATTAGGAAAAAAAACGGTGACCCAATCTTCGACCCCCAGGAACAGGTTTGCAGATTTGCTGAGCATTTCTGTGAGGTCCTGGGGGAGGGAAAATCCCTCAATCGGGAAAACATCGTGGCACAAAGTGAGGATGACCCTGCTGAGGCTACGGTGCCTCAAATATTGGAAGAAGTCACCCCCTGTGAGTGGCTGGCTAAGGTGCCATCTGTTGAGGAAGTACTGAAGGCGATCTGGAGTCTGAGACCAGGAAAGGCAGCGGGCAGAGATGATCTCCCAAGCGAAATGCTGAGGGAGGGCGGCGTTTGTGCACAGACTGCCCTATATGACATCATAACAACAGTCTGGACCACTGGACGGGGTCCGCAGGATTGGAAGGATGCCCTGGTGGTCCCCCTTTTTAAGAAGTGGGACCGCACAGACTGTAACAACTACAGTGTGCCGGGAAAGGTCCTGGCAAGGATTATTCAACATCGCCTTGCCAGGCACGCTGAGGAGAGGCTTGCGGAGCCCCAATGCGGTTTCAGGAAAGGGCGGTCCTGCAAAGATGCCATATTTTCTGTCCGTCTGCTACAGCAGAGGTGTAGGGAATTCCAAAAAGACCTACATATCTGCTTTCTTGACCTGGTCAAGGCCTATGATACCATCAGTAGACCTGGGCTCTGGGTTGTTCTTCATGCTTTTGGAGTACCTGACCCTCTGCTCACGATCATTAAGGACCTTCATGATGGTGAGCGGGCCCGGGTAAAACTACGTGGCCGGGAGTCAGAGCCATTCCCTGTACACCTTGGGGTGCGACAGGGATGTCCTCTGGCTCCCACATTATTTAACATCTATTTTGACCATGTAGTTCGTGAAGCCTTCAATAGCTGTACCGGGGGAATCTCCATATGGTACATATATAATGGTAGGCTGATCGATGCCCGGGTGCGGTCAAGGGATGGCTCCTTATTGCTCAACCACGTCATGTATGCTGATGATTTGGTAATAGCTGCTCATTCAGAGGAGGAGTTGGAGACGCTGCTGCTGAGACTGGAGCGTGCCACTAAGAGGTGAGGCTTTACCATCAGCCCCACCAAAACTAAGCACCTGCCTGGGTATTTTGTACCAGCGGACACTCCACCCCCACAACTCCCAATCGGTGATGGGGCAGTTGTGGAGAGAGTGGAGAGTTTCCCATACCTGGGCAGTGTGCTTATGACCGGCTCCAGTTTAACAGCAGAGGTCTCACTCCGAATCAGTCGAGCGGCAATATCTTTTCATCGGTTGCGTAACGCTGTGTGGAAGCTACCTAGTCTGTCGCTCCGCACTAAGCGTCAAGTCTTCTCGGCCACAGTCATTCCCTCCCTTCTCTACGCTTGCGAAACGTGGACCCCCCTAATGGAACATCTTCGCTGGTGTGAAACATTTAGGCTGGCCTGCCTACGATCCATCCTGGGTTTAACCAGGCTGGATTGTGTGAGGAGCTCACAAATCCTTGAAAGATCTGGGCAAGGCACCATCGGTGAGCTCCTCCGGCGGGCAAGGCTGCGATGGCTGGGTCATGTAGCCCGCATGCCCAGCCACCGCATGCCGAAACAGCTTTTGTTCGGCCGGATTGAGGGGGCTAAACGAGCGCGGCACGGGCTAGAGAAGAGATGGAGTGATGTGGTACAGGAGGAGGTGGAGCTGAGTGGACTTGCCGATGACTGGTACCAGCGGTGTCAAGATCGGCCTCTGTGGAGGAGGCTCGTGAAGGATGCTACTGGGCAGTTGGAGGTAGTCGCTCTCCAACAACAATGGAGGGCAGAGGAGCGACGCTCAGAACAACGAGCGGAGCGCCGGGTGGCTAAAGCACAGCAGGTTGGCACAGTAGGGGGCACAGGTGGTGCATCAGCCAGTCATCTCAGTCAGTCGACCCGTGGCACCTGGGTCTGCCCCGTGACCTCCTGCCAGCGGGCGTTCGACACTTCACGTGGCCTCAGGGTGCACATAGCCTGGCACAAGCATCGTGGTGACGTCACCGCCACTTAGTGGCGAATGGCGGTTGTTGTTGTTGTTGTGTAGGTGTGTGTATAGGTGTGTGTGTAGCTGTGTGTGTGTGTAGGTGTGTGTGTGTGTGTAGGTGTGTGTGTGTAGGTGTGTGTGTGTGTAGGTGTGTGTAGGTGTGTGTGTAGGTGTGTGTGTAGGTGTATGTGTGTAGGTGTGTATAGGTGTGTGTGTAGGTGTGTGTGTAGGTGTGTGTGTGTGTACCGAGGGAGCGTGACACGGCCAGGAAGGGGATGTCCTCCGTGGCTGAGCTTTGCTGCCCAGGGCCGCAGTGAGCCACAAGGGGCCTCCTCCAGGCCACACGGCAAGGCCCCCCTGGCTTCCTCATCACCCTGGTGGGCAGACACACAAAGACAAAGATCCCCC